AGATAGAAAGAAGATAATAAAGATGGACTTGTGTTAAGGGTAAGGTATCACTCTGGAATATCATTAAGTATAAAACAAAGTCGCTGTCGCTGTCTGTCCGTCACTATGTATGCTTAAACATTTAAAACTACGCAACGGATTTTGTAGCGGTTTTTTTTAATAGATAGTGATTCAAGAGGATCGTTTATGTGTATAATACATGTACACCCGTGCGAAACCGGGGCGAGTGGCTAGTACATATAAAAAGTGATATATATGATATATGCATAAAGTGACCAACATATAGAAATATATTAATCCGACTGCATAAAAATCGAACTTAGGATCTCGTATATCTAAAGATTTACTACCATTCTACCATAGAGCTTGTCGTAAAATAGAAATATTACCATAACTTAACCAATAAAAAATCAAATTATCCACCGTTCTCCAGGAAAGAAAAATCAACGTAAAAACACATTAACGAAAACGTTTTAAAGTTGGGACGATTAAAGCAAACGTCACGACGGGGGAATCGAACCTGCGCTCTGTCTGAACTTGATTGTAATAGTCGGGAAGTTTAATTACTGCTCTTAATTTGGGGTGGCAATGAAATTAAATATAACTCCGTCTTAACAAATTTCGCAGTTGTTAAAAAACTTGGGCAGCTCCGCGCGGGAATGCAAAATTTTAAGGGAGATATCTTCAATTGGATTGTATTTTTTAAAGCTTTTATTTGTTTTGTGTATGTATATATATATTTTTAAGGCTTCAAAGTCTTAATCACCGACGTAAAGTGGCTTGTCTATCGGTGCTAGGCTCCATTTTGGCGAATGTGCTCAAGAACTGCAGAACCTCATTCCTCCAGCACCGTTCCATCAACGTACAAAGTGGCTCCACCCATACACTGTTGGCATTCCAGCTCGAATCAACCGTTTTGCATCATCTTTCCTTATGCGAGCAGCTAAGGAGTAGAACTCTCTACCAGCGTCCATTTCTCCTGCCTCTTACAACACTGAGTCTTTCAAGTCCTGACTTGAATAATGTCACTTTTGAGTGAAGGTACTATTTGAGCTTGCACTTTCGCTTTAGGCTCACGCCTACCGGATGGAACGTGCTGTACCATAGCCAACCTTGCAACCTTGTTTGCCATTCAAATAATATTAAAAAAATAGTTTTTTATATAACCTCGACTCGTTGTAGCACGTGACTTCATTCAAAACTGATTAATAAGCAAACAACCTTTTCAACCCTTACACTCAATATTTTGGAAAAACAAACGTGTTACCCCAATATTGGCGATGGTAGCAGGCGGGGAAGTAAAGCAAAAACTTGGCTGTATCAATTGCAGCAGACAGGAGGGTTCCATATGATTTATGTTCAGTCGGATTAAAATGTTACCTACCGAGGGAAAACACGACGCGGTTCGGACTATGTGAACGGCGGATAGCGGGGCAGGTAGCGGGGCGGAAAGGATCTATTTGTGTTAATATTATAATAAGATACATAATATATATATACTAACTATATATATACTAAATATCTTATTCTGATGTATAAGCTATATTACTGTAAAATTTTATGAAAATCCGTTCAGTAGTTTTTGCGTGAAAGAATAACAAACATACATACTTACAAACTTTTGCGCTTATAATGTTATTAAGATTTAGATAAGCTATACAAATAAATAAAATTGAAATGTCCATTTGTAAAATATATGTGAAAAAATATTGTTTTGTAATTTCAAAATTAATAGAGTCTCACTAAATACATATGTAACTAGATATATTCGATATTTACATCAATAAGTTAATTTCTATAAATTTCTGTCTGTTTATTTTTGCTAATATTCAAAACGGTTGGATCAATTTTGGACCAATAAGGACAATAACTTTTAGCAATTTTTATTTCCAACAATTCATTTATTTTTACCACACGGACAATATAATGTGTTTCCTTAAATAAAACAAGAGCTGAGCTGGAGCTGTGGCTTGTTATTTATAACCAGCTATGAATACTAACATAATTATATGAATAAAAGTTCGTGATATTGTATAGAAAGTCTGATGTTACCTAATCTTTCATTCAATAACTACTGTATGGATTTGAATAAAATTTGGTACTCAGATAGATCATAATCTAGATATATAAAGTGTTAATTTTATTGGAATTAACTCAGGCAGAGTCACGAGATACAGCCATTATAGAAGTAAAGTTAGATAACGTTTATTATAGCCCTACATTACATATGTAAAGTAACAATAAAATTATTTAAAAGAGCAACACACAAGTTTCTTCCTTGTTCTTCTTGTGATGAGACAGCTTTCCGAATGAGCGGTCGATTAAAAAACATGTGATGACTATTCAAAAGTGCTTCAATGAATATATGCTTGAATAAATGATTTTCTTTCAGGGTCATTGGACTCCCTAAAATATGGTCGAGCGCAGTGATGGCTGAGTCATCCGTCATACTCGTGAACGAATGCTGCTTGTAGACTGGTCTGCTCTTATTACTACGACTGATTTAATCTTATTGTATATATATATTTGACCCTAATAAATTAGTGCTGGTTGGTAGTTTGTGTTCACACGTTTCGACTTGTAAATGTAAACTTACAAGGATTATTTAAAAGAGCAACACATAAGTTTCTTGCTCGTTCTTCTTGTGATGAGACAGCTTTATGAATGAGCGGTAGATTAAAAAAATTGAGTGTTTAAATTTAGTTTACTTGAATAAATGATTTTCTATTTTAGTCTATTCTATCTAACTACAGCTGATCCATATCTAAGTTGTTTTTATTTCAACTTATCCGCTTTTCTTTCCGCTTATCTATGTTTAGCGTGATCATACCCTAAATTGTGCAGGATAACGATAAAATAGCAACGTCGCCGTGTTAATACCGCTGTATTTAGATAAATTGGAGCTTTCACAGTTGACAGTTCACAACGTGGCCAGACATTTAATGAACACTTAGAGTTACAAGATTTTTTAAGTTACAAAGATTTACAAACATTACAAACTATGAAGTTTTTTGTTATATTTTTTTACAAATTAAGAAAATAACAGTTCAATAGCTAAACTTGACGACCTGGTCTAGCGGTTTAGTACATCGCTTTACGGGTTCGATTCTTGGCACGGTGCAAACATTTATATTCATGAGTATGATTGTTTGTATCGGTCTGTGTTTTTTCTCATCTATGTATATGTATCAGTTATCTGGTACCCATAACACACGTTTTAGCTAGCTTAACTTGTAGTCTAGATGACGCTGTGTGAATTGTCCTGAGATTACTATTATTATTTATAAAAAAAATATCAAAAAAGTATAGCTATACATCTATACCTATAAATAAAATTGGAATATCTGTTTGTAATATTGAAATAATCGTTTTTTGCTACATGCATATGAATATAAATATGGTACTTACACCAAAATAATATTTTTTTTTAATTGTTCTCTGTCTGTCTGTTTGTTCCGACTAATCTCTGAAATGGCTGGGCCAATTTTGACGGGACTTTTTTTGGCAGGTAGCTAATGTAATAAGTAGTAACTTAGGCTACTTTTATTTTAGAAATATTGTTTTATTTTAGAAAAATAAAGGAAAATTCCACGCGAACGAAGTCGCGGGAACAGCTAGTCTTAAATAAAAATAATAATCAATGTAAACGTCATACTAAGCCACTGACGGGCTTTCGCAAATAACAACAGACTAATTCTAAAAATTTACGTCACTACATATAAAGGCAACGACACATTATAAAGTTACCAGAGAATATAAAATTAATTAACAACATTATATTTGTTATAACATATTATATATACATCATGAGTGCTTTGCCATTGTCCCATTATTTGTGGTCGGCGCAGCATGTCATCTCATCTTCTTTCACGGTGAGGTAATGGAGTGATTAGTTTTCGGGTACAATGGGACTGGCATGTATTTAGATGGTAAGGTCCCTAAATTTAAATAGAAAAAAAAAATCTTCCACAGATTCCTATCAGTTGTGACATCTGAGCTTACTCTCCTTTTATACATGTCATCTTTTACACAATCAATTTCTTTCTACCGTCATCTTCTTTTTCATCCATTTATATTAATAATTTAATCACATGTAATCCTTCTTTAAGATAATCTTCTACATATAGTCTAAATTATATTTAATGTTACATATAAATGTGGATGGTTATAAGGGCGGAGGAAGACCGAAAAAGAGATGGATGGACTGTGTGAAAGATGATAAGAAAGGGAGTGAATAACGAGATGACTGCGAACAGGGATGAATGGAAGAAAAAAACATATTACGACGACCACAAATAAATGGGATAAGGAAGAAGCAGATGATGATACCTATATATTAATAAATAATAGAAAATACATTTCTTCTGTCTTAATAAAATGTTAAAATAATTCCTTAACAGTAATTTACATAAGAGTACTAGTAATTGCCGTACAGGTCAAGTGCATGACACAGAGTCAAGACTGGCATAATTATGCCTTCATACTAATTAAATATAATATGTAATTAATTTTTTTTTATAACACAGGGGACAAACGAGCATGCGGCTCACCTGATGGTAAGTGATTACCGCCGCCCATGAGCACCCGCAACACCAGGGGAATTGCAAGTACGTTGCCTGCCTTTTAAAAAGGAATAAGCTCTTTTCTTGAAGGTTTCAATATCGTATCGGTTCGGAAATACCATTGCTGGAAGGTGATTCCACAATGTGGTTGTGCGAGGCAAAAAGTTTCTAGAAAACAGCACTGTGGAAGACCGCTATTCATCCAGATGATCATGATGGTATTTCAGTTTCTGGCGGGTGGTACGGTGATGAAACTCAGCAGCTGGTATTAACCCGAACAATTCCTCAGAACACTCCCCGTGATATATGCGGTAGAAAATGCACAGAGATGCAATATCTCGCCGCATAACCAATAGGTCGAGTCTGTCACATAGACGTTGATTACCAAAGATTCTGGCTGCTCGGTTCTGAATATAGTATATGGTTGGTTGTACTCACCCTCTCACACGGCGCCGGCGCGTGAAGCTGCCTCGCCTGTCCCCGGCCTAAGGCATCCCGCTTACGCTGCGCGCTGAACAACCTCAGCTCCTTTCTTTCCTCGTCTGAAAGCGCGTGGCAGTACCGAACCTGGAATATGACAGATGGATAATTGATTTATTGCCAACATAACACCTTGATTAATAATACAAATTACAATAAGTAATAACAATAACATAGAAAGTTGGCAATAGGAGCTGCCTCAGCTGTTGCTGGTATAAGCACAACCTTAATGAGGTGCCTATACAGCGCTGGTTTTCAGGCAGCCTCCATTACTCATAACAAAAAATTAACATGCGGGTTTTTTAACTATATACAGATACATATAAATTTATTATATTTAAGATAACAAAAAAAATAAGATTAATATACATATACCCAAATGTAAATATATATAAAATGTATTACAATATTCAATGCTCATTTTTTACAAAAAATGTTTAATATGAGGATTGTTAGTATGTGCCATCCACCAAATAATTTTGACTTTCTGATTATTTGGAAAATAATAATAATAAATACTATAAAAACTCTCTTTGAAATAAAGTAAACAAAAGAGGTACATTTTGGATTGTTTTCATTACACGCATAAATTAAATTACTGTAAAATTAGTGTGACTTCTGTTGCTGCAGGTTAGATGACAAATAATTTATGTCATAAAACGGCTTGATAAGATCGATGTTACTTTTAGCAAAATGCATGCTGAACTGGATTCATCTGTCAAACGGTTAACCGAGTTATGTATTCATCTCTGAAAATAATGACTCGCAGGCATAGGTAGGTGGAAATATTGTTAAAATAGCATGAGAATGATTCTTCAAACAGTTTTATGATATATATGTATATATATATTGTCGCGTTCCGTCAATGGCACGCGTGCCATTGGTTCGCCTACCCTGGTCTAGTATATATACACAAATATAAATATATTACAATATTCAATGCCCATAAAAACCAAAATCAGTAAATATTGGGGGGAAAATGGGATAGTTATAATGTAAACTGATGATCATTATACTAGCAATGTACCATGTCAGGTTGACCGGTTATTACATAGTATAAAACAAAGTCGCTGTCTCTGTCTGTCCCTATGCTTAAATCTTCAATCTACGGATTTTGAAGCAGTTTTATTTAATAGATAGAATGATTCAAGAGGAAGGTTTACATAATATATACACCCGTGCGAAGCCGGTGCGTGTACCTAGTATGTGATAAATAAGATAGTTATTTCGGTTACCTCGTTGTCTTGCGGTGGCAACTGCTGTAACAGCTGCTTGAGTCGGTACCGTTCACCGACGCTGTTCACGTACGGAACCTTGTCTTCTGGGAGAGCCGAGAAGTACAGGTGCACCTGGAAACGTTCAAAGTAAACATTAATATTGATTTTCACTTTACATTGACATGCTGTGTTACAATTATGAATAGAAATAGAAATAGAAATAATCTTTATTCAAATAAACTCGTTACAAGCACTTTTGAATAGTCATATTTTGATTCTACCACTCATTCGGAACGCAGACTCATCACAAGAAGAATAATAATAATCTCAGGACAATTCACGTAGCGCCATCTAGACCCAAGTTAAGCTAGCTAAAGCTTGTGGTATGAGTACTAGGTAACTGATACAAATACATAGATTTTTTTAAAATACATACATTTTATACATAGAAAACACCCAGACCGACACAAACAATCATACTGATGAATACAAATGTTTGGGCCGTGCGAGGAGTCGAACCCGTGACCATCGGAAGTAAGGCGGTGTATTAAACCACTAGACCACCGAGGCCGAGTGAGCAAGAAAGAAAGAAAAAAGATAAAGTAAGAAATAAAGAAAAAATATTTATTCAGTGCTTTTCAACAAGAAGTAATATAAAAACATAATAGTTCTGTATTTTTTATTCTCTCATTCGGAAAGCAAACTCTTCACAAGCAATTCCTCTTGTAGGAAGCAACTTCAGTGTTGCTGTTTTAAATAAATTGTAATATGTATATAGTAAGAACTTGAATAGGCTTGGCCATCTTCAACTCGTATTTTCTTGAAGATGGCCTATTCAAATTAGCGATTTCTTGAAGTAAGAAGTTGAAGAATTGAGAAGAAGAAGAAGTAAGAAGTAGCTACTCGTACCTGAACGGTAGGTATACTGATAACACTGAGCTATGTACCATTTTTGTAGCACACACATGCAGGTTTATCCATATTGTTTTGACGACATCGGTGGTCGAAACCGCGGGTAAAAAATAGTTCATATAGAGAAGGAATGAAGAATAATGTAAGAGGTAAAATTTTATTTTAAATGATGCATTTAAAATACATTAAATCAACGGCGGATCCAGGGGGGTCATGCGGGGGGGTGGGGGGTGGTCATGACCCCCCTCCTGATCTCAGGACTTAGGTGGACCACTAATTGAATATTACGATTTTATTTATATATTTTGTCGACCTTACAGATTTTATGTAACTACATACCTTCAATATTTAATTAATTATATTTAAATAGTACTTCTCTGGATGTCTTCAAGAGAAGATGGCGATATGTACGTGTATATGTACAAGTTATTATGTGTTAAGTTTTTCAAGTGTACAATAAAGGATAAATATTTTTAAGTACAGTACTTACGTACATTAATAAAATAGCTACTTTTTACTTGTATCTATTGTTATCAAAATTAAATTATAAGTTCTTAACTTGACCACGACTATGTGACCCCCTCCTGGCGTCAAATTGGATCCGCCCTTGCATAAAATTAATAAAAAATAATCACACACACTATCATATATTTATGTTTGACAATATAATTATAGTAATGTTCAAACTTATAATTTAAATTAATTATGGTCAAATTTCGACCACTAGTTATCATTACATTGCATGAAAGTCGCTGTCGCTGTCTGTCCGTCCCTATGTATGCTTAAATCTTTAAAACTACGCAACGGATTTTAATGCGGTTTTTTTATTAGATAGAGTGATTCAAGAGGAAGGTTTATATGTATAATACATGTACACCCGGGCGCAGCCGGGGCGAGTAGCTAGTCATGTATAAAATTCTCGTGTCAATTAGTTGTCATAATTTTACAAAACGGTTTAACCGATTTTGATGTAATTTTATATGTATACTCGTTAGGTCTGAGAATAGGTTGTTCTCTATTTTTTATACCTCTAAGTTATAGGGGTGGCCCACCTCAATTTTTTTTTATTTTTTTGCCAAAATACATACATTCCTGAATTTTCACCCTTCTCCCACCAACCCCTATTGTTTAATAGTTATATTAATGAATATGTCAAAACAACATTTGCTGGCTAATCTAGTAGAGTATAAAAAAAATGACAGCTAATATCTCGGACATAAATAACGAGTTTATATTTGGTATTCTTACAAGGGAGCAGTTAAAAAGTTGGCGAAACCTGATTATTAACCCAATCTTTTGTCAATTTAAACGAAATTACCGTTTTTTTATCTCCAAGTCCATTACCAGAGAGATCTCAGCGCGGCTATCACGAAATCTGACTTTGTCATTATATGTGCATTACCCTGTTGTTGAGATGTTATTAACGCAGTAATACTTTTTGTGATCTTGTGGTCATATCACGAACATGTATATTTTTTATATTTTTTAAAATGGCATATAACTTTTTAATAAATATCCCCCATCTTGTGGTGACTAGTCTACTCAAGTTGTGGTTGCTGAATTCTTAGATGTAGGTCGTGTTTTAGAAGCAAGCCTACTTCGGCTAAGTTAATGTAATATTAGAGTCACTAGTGATATTGGTTTATTAAACTTAGAGTTACTAGTGATATTGGTTTATTAAACTTAGAGTCACTAGTGATATTGGTTTATTAAACTTAGAGTCACTAGTGATATTGGTTTATTAAACTTAGAGTCACTAGTGATATTGGTTTATTAAACTTAGAGTCACTAGTGATATTGGTTTATTAAACTTAGAGTCACTAGTGATATTGGTTTATTAAATTTAGAGTCACTAGTGATATTGGTTTATTAAATTTAGAGTCACTAGTGATATTGGTTTATTAAATTTAGAGTCACTAGTGATATTGGTTTATTAAACTTAGAGTCACTAGTGATATTGGTTTATTAAACTTGGTTTATATTGGTTTATTAAACTTAGAGTCACTGGTGATATTGGTTTATTAAACTTAGAGTCACTGGTGATATTGGTTTATTAAACTTAGAGTCACTAGTGATATTGGTTTAATAAACTTAGAGTAACTAGTGATATTGGTTTATTAAACTTAGAGTCACTAGTGATATTGGTTTATTAAACTTAGAGTAACTAGTGACTTTGGTTTATTAAACTTATAGTCACTAGTGATATTGGTTTAATAAACTTAGAGTAACTAGTGATATTGGTTTATTAAACTTAGAGTCACTAGTGATATTGGTTTATTAAACTTAGAGTCACTAGTGATATTGGTTTATTAAATTTAGAGTCACTAGTGATATTGGTTTATTAAATAGGCCTATTACTCACTAAACGATTACTTGAATGACGAGCGTGCATGGCAATAGTTGTTCATGTACAGGATTTTCATTTAATGTTAGACATAGACACCTATATAAATACCTATCTATACATTGTAAATAAACTGGCTTTAAAAAAAAAAGTAATTGAATTGAATTTCTTGCCAGTTCTTCTCAATTCGATCTATATACCGAACTGGACGGTAGGGAAAAAAATTATAATGTGAAAACTTGACGTTCATAAGCGGCTAAAATGTCCTACATGAATAAATGATTTTTGAATTTGAATTTGAATTTAAAATTGAATTCACTAGTGATACTGGTTTATTAATAACATTTTCATACTACAGTAATATAATAATATATTACTGGGTAATGTATAAGTATAATATATATATATATATATATATATAACTCTCTCTCTCTCTGCCTAGCCATTTCCCATTTCATTTGGGGTCGGCTCTCCTAGTCTTTCTTCGCCAGGCACATCTGTCCTGGGTCCAGGTCTGGTGTTCCAGGTCGTTCATGATAACGGACTGCCAAGTTAATAGGGGTTTTCCTCGTCTCTTTGGGCCGGTATTAAGATGCAGGACTGTTTTGGTCATATATTAATATTATATAATTAGCTATATATTATATATATACAGTTATATATATAACTGTATATATATAATATATAGATAATTATTTTTGCCTATATATGTTAATTTAATAACACAATGAATACTAACTGAGTAAATAAACTAACTAGAATATAAATACGGTACATACACCAAAATAACATTTTTTACAATTTTTTTCTCTCTGTCTGTTTGTTCCGGCTAATCTCCGAAATGGCTGGACAAATTTTGACGGGACTTTTATTGGCAGGTAGCTGATGTAATAAAGAGTAATTTAGGCTCCTTTTATTTTAGGAAAATAAAGTTAATATCCACGCGGACGAAGTCGCGGGAACAGCTAGTCTAAAATAAGAAGTGTGCTTAAATAGGTTCGAGTGTTTGATGAATCCCGCCCACCCTGGGGGCGACAGCTCGGGGCGGGAGCGCGGGGCGCGTGGCGAGTTCATGAGACGGGCCCCCGAGGGGCATTTTAATTTTTTGCTCGACTGCCTCTATCCCCAACTCCTTAATACTTTATTTTTGCTGTAATTATAAATACCAAGCCGGTATTTGGTATTCAGAGCAGTTTTATTGCTTTTGCGGTGGGAATTAAGAAAACTGTTCTATTTACCGACTTCGAAAGGAAGGGACTACAAATACGACTCGAAATTTTGTTATACATATTCATATTATATATGTATATCAAATGATATTTGTGACAAATTTGTTACAATGACTAACTAATCAAGTATAAACAATAGAGTTTGTGTTTTTTTTTAATGTATTAAGGTCAACAAACAGTAACACATTGTCAAATGGTTTTAGGCTATTTTGTTGCAATGTTTTAACAAATGTATCACCCACTACGTTGACCACTAAGGGATGACGGCCTAGGTAGTCTAGAGGTTTAGCACACCGCTTTACGATGGTCGCGGGTTCGATTCCTCGCACGGCAGAAACATTTGTATTCATGAGTATAATTGTTTGTATCGGTCTGGGTGTTTTCTATGTATAATATGTATATATTTACCAAAAAAATGTATCTATGTATTTATATCAGTACCCATAACACAGCTCTGCTTAGCTAGGGACTAGATGGCGCTGTGTGAATTATTATTATTATTATTATATTATACTAGCTACTCGCCCCGGCTTCGCCTGGGTTTTCATGTACTATATATATTAACCTTCCTCTAGAATCACTCTATCTATTTAAAAAAAATCAAAATCCATTGTGTATTTTTAAATATTTAAGCTTAACACAGCTTT